CCTCCCCCCCCCCCCCCCCCCCCCCCCCGCCGCCGCCCTCCCCCGCTCCTCGCTTTGTTTCGCTGCCTCCGCACTCCCCCCCCTCCTCCCCGTCCTCCTCCCCCTCCCCCCGTCCTCTTCCTCTTCCTCCTCCTCCTCCTCTCCATCTCCTCTCCACCCGGTTCCGCAGGGTTCCTCTCCCCGCCTCCGCCGGGGGGTGGAGGTTCTTCCCCCGCCCCGGGGCAGGCAGGGATGCCGGGGGCAGGCAGGGATGCCGGGGGCAGGCAGGGATGCCCGGCTGGGCCCTTCTCCCACTCGGGCGAGGAGGGTGCTGGGGGCCATGGCTGGAGGGTGTTGGAGCCGCTGGCAAAGGGCCTGGCTGCCGTGTCAGGGCAGAGGCGGTTGGAGCTCGGGGACAGCAGTGTCCCCACAGGCACCAGCGCCCCATTCCCCACCCCGAGCATCGCCTCCTCCCTGGCAGCGCTGGCAGGTCGCCTGCTTGGCCTCGGGCAGGGTGCTCTCGCCGGGTGCGTCAGACCCTGGGCTGAGGGTGCCTGACCCTATGGCCGGATCCAGCGCAGCAGGGGCTGCGCAACGGGAGGGGTGCTAAGGAAGGGCCTGGTACCCCGGGCACCGAGCCCGCGGGCAGCCCACCCCGCGCAGTCGGTGTCTGTCCCCCTTCTCTGGCTCTTCTGTTTCCACGCGGTTCTTTTCCCCTTCCCCATCGCTTCCCCTTCCCCAGAGGGACGTGAGCGCGGTGGCCTGGTGGGCACAGAGCTGCCCTGTGAGGCCGTGCTCATCAGGGCCAAGCAGGAACCAGCAAGAGCAGGCAGCTGCCCACGGCTTTGCCTGCAGTGGAAAGGCCGGCGTGCTCCGGCCAGCGCTCCTCGTCCCTGCAGCCCGTAACTGGCCTGGCTGGTGGGACGTGGCGCAGAGGCCCTGTGGGTGCCACGGTGAGAACCGTGGGGATGATAACCTGATAAAGCAGGGTTTCTCCGCTCAGAGGAGAATGGTTATTTAGCCCAGGATTGCCTCTCACGCCATGCAGGTGCTCCTGGGACTGCAACACAATCTGGTTTAGAGTTTATTCCTGTTTTACCTCCCCCACAGGATTTCTCTTTGTTGTAGCTGCAGAAATAATTATATTTAGGAGAACATTCTTCACCGCAGGAGGAAGCAGCGGCCTCCTTGCTTTCATCTGGTGGCGGCTCTCCAAGCGCCTCCCTGCCCGTCCCTGCTGGCCACCCCAGGGCTGCCGGGGGGAGGCCGCTGGGGGCCCTGCGCCACACCCCATCGGTGGGGGTCCTGGGCTGGCTCGGCCCCGGGGGAGTCGGGCATCGCTGCTGCAGGTGCTGCACCCCTCCAGGACCCTGCCCCGTCCCCTCTGGGGCGGGTACCGGGCTGGGGGCTGTCGGGCGCCCGGGCACGAGTGAGCCAAGCGTGGGCACGTTCTCAAAGTGTTGTTTTAATCCCTCACAAAACACAACACACAAACTGCCCTCCAGCTGCAGGGAGTGTTTTGGCAGCCCGTGCGTCTTTCCCCAGCCTAGCGGCGGGCTGCTCCGCTGGCAGACCTGCCTGCACCGTTACATCTCTCCGGCTTCTCATTTTGCTCTGTTTTGCTTTGTCTGATGCTCTCCCCGTTTCCCAGCCTGAAACAGCATCCGTGAGGCACGGCGGTGTCTGCCCCGCTCTCCTCGGCGCAGCAGCTCCTCCTTGCTTTGCTATCCCAGGTCGTTTATGGCAGCAATTCCTCAGGCTGCTGGCGAGGCAGGCGCGGGCTCCGTCTGCCTGGCGAGGAACGCCGGCTCTTCAGAAGGGCCTCGTCCCTCCCTGCGGCCATTCCCACACTGGTCATACCATTTCGGTGGGAATGCGCCCCGTGCTCTGCTCTCCAGGCTGGTGGGTCCCCGGGGACCACCAGGGCATGGGGAGCTCCTGGTTTGTCCCAGGCTCAGGAGTGGAGCTGCCATCCCCAGGGTGCTCCACGCCTGGCGCTGCCGCAGAACCGGCACCGGTGGCCTGGCCGCCGCCGGGTGCAGCCAGCGGCAACCACCTGTAGGCATGATGTGAACATGGGGTTTTCCGCTCATTTGTCTTTGGACTTTTCCTGCCGAAACTGCGGCCCTGTGAGTTTGCTGTGGTCCCACATACACCCAGTGGTGATACCGTGGCATCGCTGTGCTCTCCTGGTGTGCTCCCCTGTGCTTGCTTACTGCTCCTTGCTTCTCTGCCAAAGGTCATTTGTCCTTCTAGTCGAAGCTGGTTGGTGTCTACCTGACCTTCCAAGTCCGTATTTCCCGAACCGGCCGGCACCGTGCACTGCTCCCATGTGAGCTCCACCATTGCCTTTCCCCCAGCTGTCACCAGCGTTGGATGCAGCGAACAGCAGCGCTGGAGCAGCTCCTCTTGTGCCGCCTCTCCGGCGGGCTCTGGCACGCTCCTGCAGGTTGCCTGCCTGGGTGCTGGAGGCTCCGCGTCGCTCGCGGGTCCAGGCTGTTGCCTGGCGTCCTGGAGCCACGTCTGCGCCCTTGTCCCTCTCCTTGTGGTCTCCCTTCATTCCTATCAAGACGGCTTGCTTGGGGGATCTTGTGGTGCCGGCACACCCAGGCGGGCTTGTCCTGCCGGTGAGTCCCATGGCAATACGCTCATCCCTGTGCAAGTGAGCATCACCGTGAGTGCCATCCGTGAGCAGTTATCTGACTTTCTTCCTGGAAGCGGATGGAATAGTTAAATAGCACAAGGTCAAGACTGGAGTCCTGCAGGATCCTGTTGCGAGCCCTCCTGGAGGGCGGTGGGGATGCGTCTCTGGGTCCCCAGAATCTGAGTGGGGATAAAACAGTTGTGGTCCATTCGGGGAGTGCCCCAGGGTGGTATTGGTGTTGGGTCGTCCTGCTCTGACCCCATCCATGTCCTGTGCCTCTTCCCTGCGTAACTCGGGCACGCAGTGCCCGATGCCCAGTGCCGACGTGGGCACGAATGCTCAGGGGGCACCTTGGAGGGGGGGCAACAGGGGAGGGAGAGGACTCAAACCTTCGGAGCCCGAGGGGAACATTGGCTGCTGCTCCTCTGCGTTTGCCCCAGGGCCCTGCAGAACCACGGCTGTACAGGGATTGTAGCTGGAATAGAATATATAATAGAATATATTCTGTAATCATCTGGTCCAACTGCCTGACCAAGTTAAAGCATGTTATTAAGGGCATTGTCCAAAGGCCTCTTAAATACTGGCAGGTTGGGGCATCGACCACCTCTCACCCTCTTCTGAGAAGTGGCTTCGTAACTCCGTAAGCAGTCTGTGCAGGTCGGCAGTGCTGCAGGGGGAGGGAGGCAGGAAAAATGGAAGCAAACCACTTATAAAACCTGCAGAAATGCTGCTGGAAGCTGGCGTGCTTATTGCTGGGACAAAACGGTGCTGCTGAAAGGCATTCGTGAAAGCAAAGGGGAGAGGAGGTGCTTGCCATGGCGATGAGAGAGGGCTGCGAGACGAGAGGGATGGACCAGGCGGGAAAGGTGAAGCTGGAGCCCGGCTGTTGCGGAGCAGGGGAGGTTGGAGCAGTGAGGGGGCTCATGGGGCACCAGCACAGCCTGTGCCGGACCCAGAGCTGCCTCCTGTGCCGCGGTGGTGCTGGGACTCCCGTGGGTGAGCATGCCAAAGGCACCGGCACTGAGCTAAGCGGAGCCTCTGCCCTGCGCTTCACTTGGGCTCACAAGCCCGACAGTTTGACCACTTTCTAGATGTTCCCTGTGAGGAGGGTTTGGGCTCTGGTTCCTCGGGATCCCCGTGCCCTTCGCTGCTGCTTCTTGCTCCTCCAAGGAGCACAGAGCAGGGTGGCACGCTCGGCTTTCTTGACTGGTCCCCAAATGGCACAGGCACCTGTCCCCAGGAGTCGCTGCTGGGGAGCTCTGGGGCACGCGAGGAGCCAGACCTCAGCCTCGGGGTTCAATAGCCTGGCCAGAAAGGCCGACGGCAGACACAGGGCCAAGCTGCCCCTCTGCAGCCTGGCTCCTCGGTACCTCCTGCAGCTGAGACCCCCAGGGCTGCCCCGCTCCCACGTTCTGGGGCGTGTGGTGCTGGGGACCCGCACTGGCATCACCCCCGTCAGCCTGGGGTTTGCTGGGGACGGTGATCAGGAAAGGGGCAACGGCCGCAAGGAGTCCCTCGCGGAGTGGCGTCCCTGGCGGCTGCATGGTGGCAGGGGCACCTGGAGGGCTAACGGCTGTCTCTCTCCCTCCCCAGCCATGACAGCCTAGGCAGGCGGCAAGAGATGGATCGCTTCACCGAGTGCGGGACCCAGACGGACGCGGTGGTGGTGCTGTCCCTAGCGCAGGCTGCGGTTCTGGGCTTGGTGTCCGAGAATGAGCTTCTTGGGGCCACCATCAGCCCCACTGGCTTCTTCCCGGGGCTGGGAGGGGAGCTGCCAGATGACACCGCGGTGGAGCCCGGTGAGCCGGAGGGCGAGTGCCGGCTGGAGGGCGAGGGGCAGGCGCCGGGGGACGGGCAGGAGGAGGACGCCTTGGAGGCAGAGTCCTCCCTGGAGAAGCATGCCCGGAGGAGGAAGCGGCCTCCCGTGAGGCTGGTGCCCAAGGTCAAGTGCGAGGAGGCAGAGGATGAGGTGCTGTATGAAGCGTCCGTCCCGGGGGACGAGAAGGGTGAGCGGCAGCGCGGCCGCCCGCCCCCCCTCCAGGACCCCAGCCAGGAGCAGACGGGGGAGAGCAGTGCCATGAAGATGATCGACCTCGGCGCCTTCGGCAGGAAGCCCCGGCGCCTGCGGCACCTGCGCCGGCACGCGCGCCAGGAGCTGGAGGGCGTGGGCGCCCTGCGGACTGAGTGTGGCTTTGAGGCGGGTGCCCCGTCCCCTGGCGAGGTGGAGGCCCCCGCGCCGGCGTCCCCCGAGCAGGTGAAGAGCGAGCAGGGCTTCGCCTGGCAGGAGCCGGGGGAGCTGGAGGCGGAGGCGGCGGGTGCCACCAGCGAGCGCAACAAGAAGGCGCAGCTAGACCGGCTGGACATCAACGTGCAGATCGACGACTCCTACCTGGTGGAGGCGGGGGACCGCCAGAAGCGCTGGCAGTGCCGCATGTGCGAGAAGTCCTACACGTCCAAGTACAACCTGGTGACCCACATACTGGGCCACAACGGCATCAAGCCCCACTCCTGCCCGCACTGCAACAAGCTCTTCAAGCAGCCCAGCCACCTGCAGACCCACCTGCTGACCCACCAGGGCACGCGGCCCCACAAGTGCGAGGTGTGCAGCAAGGCCTTCACCCAGACCAGCCACCTGAAGCGGCACATGCTGCTGCACACCGACATCAAGCCCTACAGCTGCCGCTTCTGCGGCCGCGGCTTCGCCTACCCCAGCGAGCTGAAGGCGCACGAGGTGAAGCACGAGAGCGGCCGCTGCCACGTCTGCGTGGAGTGCGGGCTGGACTTCTCCACACTCACCCAGCTGAAGCGGCACCTCTCCACGCACCAGGGCCCCACGCTGTACCAGTGCCTGGAGTGCAGCAAGTCCTTCCACTACCGCAGCCAGCTGCAGAACCACATGCTGAAGCACCAGAACGTCCGGCCCTTCGTCTGCACCGAGTGCGGGATGGAGTTCAGCCAGATCCACCACCTCAAGCAGCACTCCCTCACGCACAAGGTAGGGGCCGCGGCACGGCGGGCACCCGAGGGGTGCTGCCCTGGCCATGCCTGAAGGAGATGTGCCGGCTCTGGATGTGGGTGCAGGGGGAGAGGGGTGTCCCCATGCCCCAGAGTCCTGTCCAGCCCTGGGAGATGGGTGGTGCGTGTGGGCAGAGGCACCCGTGGTTGGCATTCCTTAGGGGTCGTTAATTAGCAGTGAAAGGGCATTGTCATGGGCAGGGGCCCTGGGGCTGCCCAGCCTCCTTTCGTCCTGGGGGCTTCCATCCTCAGGGAGGGGGGTTCGGAGCTGCTGCGGGCGCTGCAGCAGGGTGACTGGGGGGGCCCTGCCGTGCGCTGCCGCAGCCCCTCCCAGCGGGCTGTGAGCGAGGGGTTTGCCCTTTTCCAGTGGCTCTTTCAAGGGGCAGCAATTGGCCTGAGCTGGAGAGCAGAGCTAGGTCTCCCAGCTGGGCTTACAGAGCCCGTCCGGCCACGCTCCCTGCAGCCCATCTCCTGCACGCTGCCGGGCTCAGGCAGGGCCCTCGGACGTACGGCCCCGGGCGGGCCTCGGGCGGGCCCCCCGGCCGTCCCCATGCCGGGTCGGCCGCCGTACGGCGGCTGCCCTCCCCAGCCAGCCCCTTCCCGTGGGTGCCGCTTTGCGGAGCTGCTCTCCCTCCAGCGGCACTGACCTAATACTGGGTTTCCCAAGTCCTGCAAATGCATTCCCAGTGCGGGTGAGAGGATGGTATCTGGGGGTGAGGCAGGAGGCAGGATCCTGCCCGCTGCAGGACCAGGCAGCGGCAGTTACCCCCCAGGGCAGTGTGGGGATGGCCCCAGGCTTTCGGTAGCGCCCGCTCTGCACTTGCAGAAGGGGCAGGGAGAGGGGAGCAGGAGATGCTCTGGGGAAGGTGCAGATGAGCTGATGAGGGTAAATCCCCCCCCCCAGTTCCTGCGGTCCAGCCCGCTGACAGTCCCCGAAGCTCAGTGTAGTGTGAGGAGCATGGGTCGCTGCTCTGCACCGTGCCTGGCCCTGCTCCTGTGCCCCCAGCTGCTGCGGGGTCTGTTCAGAGGCCGCCGAGCCGCCCTGGCAGCGCCGAGCACTGGCCCCCGCTGCCGCAGGCAGAGCCCTGCCTGCTGCCGCGCTGCCCGGGGCTGGGTTCTGCCCCCTGCCCACGGCTCTCGAACCCCTTGCAGGGCGTGAAGGAGTTCAAGTGCGAGGTGTGCGGGCGGGAGTTCACCCTGCAGGCCAACATGAAGCGGCACATGCTGATCCACACCAGCGTCCGTCCCTACCAGTGCCACATCTGCTTCAAGACGTTTGTGCAGAAGCAGACGCTCAAGACCCACATGATTGTGCACTCACCGGTGAAGCCATTCAAATGCAAGGTACCGGCGGGGGTCCGGGGGTTGGCACGCCCGTGTGCCGCACTCGGAGAAACCCGGCCAGGCTGGGTTGAGTCCTCAGTCACAAGCAGTTTTGTGATGCCTCCCTCTGTTCGCTCGGGCAAACAGCTCGTCCTGACGCGTCCGCTCAGAGCTGCGCAGCGGGGAGGGCACGGGCACCGCTAACGGAGAAGGACAATTAGTACCCCTCTCTGCCCAGCGCTAGATGTGCTGGAGCTCCCAGCAACACCAGCACAGCATCCCTGAGACCTCCCACCGCAGGGGGCGAGGCGAGGGGAGGAGGGAGGCGGCCCCGTTACTCTTAGGAGTTGGTGGGAGCAACGGGGGGGACCCCAGGAGTGGGGGTCTGAAAAGCACACGTCCCTGCGGCAGCACCGGCCGTCGCGGGCAAGCGCCTGCCGCTGTCCCCCTTTGCCGGGGGCGGTGGGAGCGCCCTCGCTGACCCCAGGAACGCTGCCCGCAGGTCTGCGGGAAGTCCTTCAACCGCATGTACAACCTGCTGGGCCACATGCACCTGCACGCCGGGAGCAAGCCCTTCAAGTGCCCCTACTGCTCCAGCAAGTTCAACCTGAAGGGCAACCTGAGCCGGCACATGAAGGTCAAGCACGGGGTGATGGACATCAGCCTGGACAGCCAAGGTAGGTGCAGGCTGTGGCCCGTCCCTCCCGCTGCCTATCGCTGCCTGGGTGCTGTGGTCGGGTGCTGTGGTCTTCCCCGCTGCGGCCGCTCCTGGGAGCGCCCAGCTGTCGGCTGTTTGCTTCGGGAGCTGGGCTGTGCCGCGGCGGCTCCGGCGAGTGCCTTTCGGCGAGCTCGTGTCCTGCTGCCCGAGGGCTGCCCTCGTCCTGCCAGCAGTGCGTGGTGACACAGGCTGCCGCCCCAGCCTCCCCTCCGTCCTCAAGCACCTCTCCTCCCCCAAGGGCCATGGAAAGGTACCGAGCGGGAGCTGAGTGAGCTTAATAACCTTGGTACAAATTAAATAAATAAACTTCATAATAAATAAGTTAAAATAAATAGCTCCTCAAGAAGCCACTGAGGCTTCTGCATCTCTGGACAGGACAGTGCCCTCTGGTGACACTGTGATTTTGGGCAAAGGGTTTTGCAGGGCGGGAGGGGTAAATGCCGCTGTTCTTGCCCCGGCTGCCCCCTCTACGCCTGCCCAAAGGCACCCTGGGGGCACGGGAGATGCTCCTGCCGCAGGTTTCCGCACAGCATTGGTGCAGATGCTCCATCAGCAGTCTCGCAGCGGGACCACCTCTGCTTCGTACGGACAGAGCTGGAGATGAGCTCTGGCTGTTTCGTCCCCTCAGTTACCCAGCGGCTCAACGCCCACCTTGAGCGCGTCCTGGGGTGACCCAGCAGGATCCCCCATTCCTGCCCTTTTCCTCCTCGCCCCGGCCGAGCCTCAGCCGGTGCCCAGCACCGCGGCGCAGGCAGGGAGTGCGAGCACGGGGGCGGCGCTGGGAGGACGCCTTTCCTGCGCTGCCGTCCTCTCCTTGCCTCCCCCGGCCCCCGCGGTGGGACGGGTGCTGCAGACCCCCGCGTGTGGCACAGGCACCGGTTGGGGGTGAGCACGCACGTGCCAGCTCTTTGCTCTGGCAACCCGTCCCTGCTGTGGTGCATGGCCGGGGATCCTCTGAGCCGAGAGCCCCCCGCAAGTGGCCTGGCTCGAGCAGAGCCGTAGCTCCTGGGGGGCTTTGGGCTCTGAACCCGAGCTGCCCGGGGAGGGGGGGTGCTCTTGGCCCTGGACCTTCATGCAGGTCTGTCATCGGGTGTTCCTGTGCTGAATCCTAGATACCATGATGGACCTGGCCGGGGCTGACCATGCCGAGCTGGACGGGCAGCAGGAGATGGACGACTTCGAGGAGGAGAACTCTTACGGCTACGGGGGGGTAGGCAACCCTCCAGACGAGCACGCCCTGACCGAGCAGGCCATGAAGGAGATGGCGTACTACAACATGTTGTAGCCGCGGCTGGAGGAGGCTGCCGGGGACCTGTGTGGACTTTGTGTGGTAAGAGGAGCTGCTGCCGGCAGGCTGCGGCACCCAGCCAGACCTGCACCACCACCCCTGGAGATGGGGCCTCCAGCTGAGCTTGGTGAAGGAGAAAACAGGGATGTCCAAAAACCTTTGCTGGGGCGAAGGCAGGAGCGAAGCTGGAGGCGGCACAGGGCAGCGGTCGCTGCCTGCCACGGGCATGCCGAGCCGGCGCAGCGAGGGCTTGGCTACAAGCTGCTGCCAGACCCTTGCAGAGCCTCGGCGGAGGTCTCGCCATCGCTGGGGTCCTTCCCTCCTTCCCCACCACCCCGAGAGGGAGCGCCGAGCTGCACGCCGGCTGCCTGCAGCTCTCCTGCCCGGTGCTGACCTCCCTTCGCTCTGCTCCTGCCTCCCTGCCTGCCCCACCGCGCGGTGGCAAGCCAGGACCTTGCCTCTGCCTTCGCCCCTGCCTTCGCCCCTGCCTGTACTCCCGCGTCCAGCGTACTTGAAGCTGCGGGCAGGGGAAGGCACGTCCCAGAAGATGATGAGCATTACTAATTATTCTACCTCCTGGGTCCTCCCCCACGGCTGTGCCAGGGCTGCAGCCCAGCCACCCCCCAGCGCCCCGTGGGGCAGAAGCCCCTCTGCCTGCGGGAGGAGGTGGGTTTGCATTTCTTGCTCTTCCCCGTCTCCCGGACAGGCGAGAGCTGTCCCACTTGCTCTGGCACCGGCTGCGAGCTGGCACGGGCAAAGCTGCGGCAACCTACGTGAGGCCACGGGGCACATACAAAACAGAATATTTTCTTACAAACTAATGGCAAAGCTCAGAGGAAGCAGCAGCTCTGGGTATAGAGCAGCTGTAGCAAGCGGTGTATTTAAAGGAAGACAAACCCTGTTCAACTTGAGCAAATGATGGTATTTTGAAAGTAATTTATTTTTTTCAGATGTGCCGCGTGGTTGGATTTATCTTTTCACTGAGTTCAGTTTCCTTCAACCAATGTGCTTTGTAAACCTGTGTAACGTGTGTGGTCTGTGCACGGGCAGCGGCGGGGGCTGCAATGGTGCTCGGGGGGGCTGAGGACCAGAGGGGGTCCTGCCATCCGTGGGGCAGCCGAGCACCGGCAGGGCCACGCTAACGAACCGCAGCCACCCTCTGTGCTGCCGGCACCCCCTCCTCGCCCCGCTGAGCTGCTCCGGGGCTCAGGAAAAGTCTCTTGCTGAGGCGCTGTAGCCCTTTGGAGGCGGGTTTGCCTCCTACGCTCCCAGGCGCTGTGGCGCGGGGAGAAAGCAGCTGGGACCAGGAGCACCCTCCTGGCTTTCCGCCTTTCCTGCCATGGGGCAGGGGACCAGGCAGCACCGAGAGCATCGCTCCCCCAGCGGGGCCTGCACCAGGCACTGGTACCTCCTGGGTGGCTGCAGCCGCGGTGCTGGCACAGGGTCCGGGACCCCCGAGTGCACGGCAGGCAGCCGAGCAGGTGCAGGTCCCCCCGCGCTCCCTGGAGCAGGGCACCACCCGCCCCATCCCCGAGAGCCCCAGTCTGGCACTGGGGGTTGGCACCGCTCAGCCCCCCGGTTCCCAGGCCCCAGGACGGCAGGGTGGCTCCCAGCCTTGCCATCTCCTTTTCCCCCTCAACCTCCTCCAGCCTTGGGGCAGGATGGGGACGGCCACAGCACTGGCCAGCCCGGACCCCCTCCTGCAGCGCTGCCCCTCCGTGCTCCCCCACACGCTACCTCAGTCCAGTTACCAAAAAGCAGCAACGCGCGTCCCCTCATGCTGGGTGAGGACGGGCTGGCGAGGCTGAGCCCAGGGGGTCTTCGCTGCTGCCGGGAGGCAGCCCTGGCCGGCTGCGGCAGCGGGCTCTGCCCATGGGATGAGGCGGCGGGACCTCGTGCTGGTGGCGCAGCCAGTGCCAGCAGCCGCAGGGCTCCCTGGCCTCCCCCTCCTCGCGTACGCAGCGCGTTCAGCTGCCCCTTGTGCAAAGCCCTACTGTGTTTTGGTTATTTTTTTATCTCCTCGGTTTGAAGAGTTGTTTAGCAATAATTCTAATAAATGTGTATTCTTTAGCTGCTGGCTGCCTCCTGCGGCTGGCACCCGCCCCGTGCCCACGCCGCGAGAGCCGTGCCACCACCACGCGCTGTGGGCCGGTGAGGTGTTTAATGGCTGCTAGCACCGTGAGGTGGGAGGGTACAGGAATCGGTGCGGGACAGGCCCCCCGGACCCCCCCAGTCCTACACACCCCTGCTAAAAAGGCTTTAAAAACACTCGTAAGAAAACTGCTTATAAAAATTATTCAACTGTTCCTGAGCCGTGTCGGTGAGCTGAGGTGGCACTGGGTCCCCGTCCGTCCGGGTGGCAGCGGGGCCGGGGCTGGGTGGCCCCCCGCCCCGCTACTGCTTGCCCAGGGCCTTGTCCAGGTTGTTCTTGATGGCGTCCAGGAAGTCGGTGGTGTTCACAAAGTGCTCGTTCAGCTTCACGCTGGGGAGAGGGGCAGAGAGGGGCTGCAGGGGTCCCGCAGCCGGGGGTCCCTGCCCACCCTCCACCGCGGCCAGCCCAGCTGGGGGCAGAGCCGGGGCCGGCAGCGCAGCCCTGGGCGTGGGACGTGGCCCCTGCCCGGCCACAGGCACAGCCCGACCCCGCGAGCTGTAAATAGATGCCCTGAGTCCCCAGGGACTGTCCAGAGGCCAGCGGCCGTCCCACGCGGCCAGCCTGCCTTCGTGGCAGGCGGCTGCCCCACACCGCTCCGCCCTGTGAGCCACACGTACTTGGCGAGGCCGTGGATGCAGCCGGCGAGGTCCTTCGTCATCGTCCCGCTCTCCACCGTTTCGACGCAGACCTTCTCCAGTGTCTGAGCAAACCTGGGGACGGCAGCATCATTTGTGGCTCCAGCAAAGCCGGCACTGCACCAGCACCCCTGTGCTGCGGACCCCACCGCGGGTGGGACCGGGGTGGTTGGTGCCGGGGACAGCTGCTGGCAGTGTCCCCCACCCTGGGGTGCCCCCACCCCACCCCGCTCACTTCATCAGCTCCGGGTTACTGTCCAGCTTGCCCCGGTGCTCCAGGCCACGCGTCCAGGCGAAGATGCTGGCGATGGGGTTCGTGCTGGTGGGTCGCCCCTGCGCAGAGAGAGCGCTCAGCCACCCAGCGTGGGCAGCCCACCATGGGCAACTCGGTGCGGGCAGCTCACCGCGGGCAGAGCGCACCCACCTTCTGGTGCTCCCGGTAGTGGCGGGTGACGGTGCCATGGGCCGCCTCGGCCTCGATGGTCTTCCCATCCGGACACACCAGGACAGAAGTCATCAGCCCCAGGGAGCCAAAGCCTGCAGCGGGACGGGGGTCAGGGCAGCCCCAGCAGTGCGACTGCACACAGCCCACCCCATCCCACACCGCCCCACAGCACCCCAACCTGCCCCACAGCACCCCAACCTGCCCCACCTTGGGCCAGGATGTCTGACTGGACGTCCCCGTCGTAGTTCTTGCACGCCCAGACGAATCCGCCGGAGGACTTCAGCACCTGGGCGACCATGTCGTCGATGAGCCGGTGCTCGTACCAGATCTTCAGCTTGTCGAACTCCGTCTTGTAGTGCCTGGGAGCCCAGGGCGGGCATCAGCCGTGCCCGGCCGTGCCCACCGCAGGCCGGGTCCCACTGCTACCCTCGGGCAACGGCCCCCCAGGAGGGGCAGCCAGCCCCCCGCCCTAGCAGCCAGAGCTCCTCCAAGTCCGTACTTATCGAAGATCTCCTGGAAGATGTCTTTGAAGCGCCCGTCATAGGCCTTCAGGATGGTGTTCTTGGTGCTCATGTAGAGAGGCCACTTCTTCTGGATGGCGTACTGGAAGCAGCTGTGAGCGAAGCCCGAGATGGACTGCAAGGGAAGCGCATGGACCCCCGTGGGACCCCCGTCCCACCGGCCTGGCCGGGTCCACCACGGATGGCAGGGCGTGCCTCCCCACAGGGACCCCTCCTGCTGCCCCCAGCCCACCCCGTTACCTCGTCCGTGTTGTACATGCCCATGCCCACACCACCGCCGGGGAAGTTGTACACCTCCCACTCCTTCGTCCCGCTGCCGTCCTTCGGCGTGAAGACCATCTTGAACGTCCCGGACTTGCCCACCACGAAGTCGGTGGCTTTGTACTGCAAGGAGCAGGGCAGAGCATCGGGCAGGGTCCGGCAGGAGCTGCCAGACGGCTCTGCACCAGCGGCGGCCGCTGGACGGGGCTCACCTGGTCGCCGTGGGCATGCCTGCCGATGGTGATGGGCTTGGTCCAGCCAGGCACCAGGCGGGGGATGTTCTTGCAGATGATGGGCTCCCGGAAGACCGTTCCCCCCAGGATGTTTCGGATGGTGCCGTTGGGGCTCTTCCACATCTTCTTCAGCTTGAACTCTGGGGTGTGCAGGGGTGAGGCCCCTGAGGGATCCCCCCACCAGGCACAGCCCTGGCGGCCACCCCAACCCGGCGCCAGGCCCCTGCCAGCCCCCCCCCTGCTCCTCCGTGCCGTGGGCTGCTGCCAGAGCCCTGCTGTCGGGCCAGCCAAGGAGAGGGACAGCCCGCGTGGGCTCGTGCCTGGCAGCGGGCGGAGGCCGGTCTGTCCCCAGCCCCATGCCCTCGGGGTCCCCGCAGCACCCGGCGGGCACAGTGCTAAGACCAGGGCCCCCAGCCCAGGCAGTGGTGCAGCCCCCGACCCACCAGAAACCTGAGCCGGTGGGGAAAGCGCTGGCTGACCCAGAGGGGCCGGGCACACACGGGGGGCTCAGCACCCCGCGGGGCTGCCGGCACCACCCCCGCTGCGGTGGGAGCTCAGCCCGTTGCCCCCTGCCCACCTTCCACCCTGGCTTCATCTGGCGTGATAGTGGCACACTTCACAGCCACGCTGTACTTCTGGGTGGCCAGCGCCGAGTCGATGGTGACCTGGTCGTCCGTCTTGTCCCGGTGAGGCAGGCCCAGGTCAAAATACTTCAGCTGGACGTCCACGTTGGGCAGGATGAGCTGGGGGTCCCAGGAGAGCATCAGAGCGGGGGGATGGTGCGGGGTGCCTGGGGAGCAGCACCGTGCACCGCGACACGCCCAGCCCCGGCCCCTACCCCAGCCCAGCCATGGCTGCCTGCCTGGGACGGTCCCCCCTGCCCGGGACGGTCCCCCCTCCCCAGGACCTCCTCGCTTCCAGGTCCCGCTAGAAGCTGCGCTGATCTCACCACCTGCTTCCTGCGGACGGACGGACGGAGGACAGGCAGACAGGGAGGGCAGCGTGCAGGGACTGCCTGTTCCCTGTACAACAGCCACCTGTTCCTCTGTACAGCACCCGCCAGCTCCGCTTGTGCGACACCCGCCTGTTCCCCAGGCAGGACCCCGTTACCTTCTCCTTGATGAAGGCCCAGATGATCCGCGTCATCTCGTCTCCGTCCATCTCCACCACCGGGTTGGCCACCTTGATCCGCTTGTCGGCATCTGGGGAGCGGCGGCAGGGTGTCAGGGGTGCGTGCCCAGCCCCGCCGGCACCGGCCCCACGGCTCTGCACCGCGGCGTGGGGCCAGGGGTTGTCCCATGGGGACTGCGAGGCCCTGTCCGGCAGGGTTCGGGTGCCACCCCTGCTCAGGGCCGGGTGCGGGTCAGGGTGCAAACCCCGCTTGGGTGCAGGTCGGGGCACAAACCCCACTGGGGTCTGGGCCGGTTCATGGCGCCAGCCCTGCTTGGGGCTGGGCTCGGGTGCAGGTCAGGGTGCAAAACCCCACGTGGGAGCGGGACTGGGAGCGGGTGCACACCCCTCTCGGGGCGGGACACGGGTGCGAGCTGGGCTGCAAAGCCCCACGTGAGACCAGGACCAGGACCGGGTGCAAACCCTCCGGAGCCAGACCCCGGTACAAGCCGGAGTGCAAAACCCTGCACAGGACTGGGACCAGGAGCAAACCCCTCTCGGGGCTGGACCCGGGTGCAAGCTGGGGTGCAAATCCCTGCATGGGACTTGGAGCGGGAGCAAACCCCTCTGGGTGCCAAGCCTGGCTGCAGGTTGGGCTACAAAACCCTGTGTGGGCCTGGGACCGGGGACCGGAGGCAAACCCTTCTGGGGGCCCAGCCTGGCTGCTCCTCAGGCTGCGAAACCCCACGCGGGACCGAGACCGGGTGCGAACCCCTCTCGGGGCGGGACCGGGGGACAAGCCGGGCTGCAAACCTCACGTGAGAGCGGGACCAGGAACAAACCCCTCTGGGGGCCAAACCTGGCTGCGGATCCGGCAGCGAAACCCTGCCCGGGGCCGGGAGCAGGAATAAATCCCTCCGGGATCAGACCGAGCACAAGCCGGGGTGTAAAACCCCCCGTGGGACCGGGAGCAGGAACAAACTCCTCCAGGGGCAGACCGAGCACAAGCCGGGGTGTAAAACCCCGCGTGGAAGCGGGCCCAGGAGCAAACCCTTCTGGGTGCCAAGCCTGGCTGCTGCCGGTCGCGCTGCAAAACCCCACGTGGAACCGAGACCGGGAGCAAACCCCTCCGGGACCGGACCCGGGTGCAAAACCCCGCGTGGGTCCGGGACCGGTGGCAAACACCACCCCCCCCGGGGCCGGCTGTAAGCGGGGGTATGGATCCAGTTGCAATCCCCCCCAAAAAAATCCGAGCCGGGCCAGCGTGCAAACCCCTCCGTGGGCCGGGACCGGTGCAAAGCCCCCCTCGGGGCGGGAGCAGCCGCCCTCTCCGTCCCCAAGGACACAAGGGCT